CGAGCACATACTAGATAAGTAATTAGAGATGACAACTTTATAAACCCCTTAACTGTTTTGTTATTAATGTATTATTGGATTGCTTGCTCCAGTGCACATGTGATTGTGAGGGGGTGTTTAAACCGTCCTACCATGAGTCTTAAATCTCTTGGGCATTTTATGTTGTTAACAAAGGCGGTTAAAGCTTCTTGTAGATAGCACTGTGAAACATAATAAGGAACCATCTGACCAAAACACAGACCGCTTTGGCATTTTGGGGTGGGTTTATGAGAAATTGTTGAAACCACAAGAATAGGCCATTGCTGAGAAAAAACTGTTCAGAAAACCATGAAGTACTTTGCAGAAATGTGTGTAGACTTTGTAAAGAAAAATATTTTTTCCTGTGTTACTTTGCAGGCACAGTCTGACGTGATCTCTTTCTCTTTGTGTTTCAGACTCAAGCAGATCAGTGTCGGTATGTAGTGGGAAGCATACTGTGTGAAAATGAAGAGAAACCTGACGAAGAGCTACAGCGTCTGTACGAGAAATTCGGCTACAAGGTCATCTCCTTCCCAGAAGTCACCTGTGCCGTAACTTCCTCGTTTCCAAACAGATGCACTCTGTCCCCCGTCTGTGGTGCTTATAGAGTCTATTCTGAACTACAACAGTATATAAAGGTAACAGTCATGCTTATTTTTACATTTAACTCATAATTACTAGCAAAGGACTACTGCAGGAATGTTTTGTTTTCTCCTTTTTTAGAACATGACTCAACTTCTAGTTTACAGTAAAATGAAATCCCAATGTATGTGTTGCAGACTCTTATTGAGTTGCAGGGTTTATCAATTTCCAAACCATTCTCACAGCTGATAATATACCACTAAATTACAATATATGATACCTGGCGGAACTTAAATTGGTTGGAATGCAGCACTCTGCTTTATATATTGTCATTTCTATGGTGCTTTACACACCTCACATCGCTAGTGGTCAATATCTGGCAGATCTAATGGAGGACAGCATGTGGAATGTATAGTGAGGAACGTGTGTAAATGGGGAGGAAACGGCCTTAACAACTTCTGTTTGGACAGATAACTGGATGGAGGGATGGTAAAGAGGCTGTTAATGAGGTCAGTTTGTGTGAGCTTGCTGGTTATCGAGCGTAGCGTTAGTTCTGGCAGGTCACGTCAGTCAAGCTGATCCACGTCTACCTATAGGGATACAACGCCTATCACAGCATCCATGTGTAAGGTCCTTCAGTATTATCAGCAGCTTTCGCATTGCTCAATATAGCTAATTAAATGGCGAATTTGGCAGGCAAAACTCCATCATCTCACTAGGAATTGTGCAATCGGGAATTTACCGAGAGGAATTCGTTCCTCTCGTGGACTTCACTCAGATTCTTTCAACTTTGTGAACTTGAACATGTGAATTCGCTGCATTGATCATAAGCTGCCTGATTTGGAAGTGACCAAGTTAACATTGCTTCTTGCATCGCTGCATTATTGACATGGACTTCATGAGTTATACTAATTTGACTGACTCAAGAACAAGTTTAGATGGGATCTGTTGGTTCTGTTGGAAACATGCTTGTTCTAAAGGCTATCTGGTTGTTATTGAGAACATGTTGTTGTTTAAGTTTTTCGGGTATTGGCAACATACCCGTTAGGTCATCTGGTTAAGGGCAACATGCTTGTTGCTATGGCTTATGCGGGTTTTGGCAACATACTCGCTTGGGTCATTGGGTAAGGGCAACATGAATGTTACTTAATGCATTGAGATTTTCGCTGTCATTTTGTGTTGGTGATATCAGTATATGGTTTTGTTTTGGGGGGTTATCGCTGCTCTCCCTGCTCTTATCCATACTAGGCTGCATAGATGCGCAGGGAGTTCTTGCCCAGAACAGAACCATACCGCCAATCCAAACTGTATGCTAATTGTCAATCATCTTTGATGATTGCGCTAGTGCTAGTGCTAATGCTAATGCTGTTTTTCCAATAAGTAACCACCTAGTGTACACTAGCAGCTAGCTATCAATGCCTTGGCAGCCCCCTATAACATTTTTGCATTGTGGTAGCTGTGCACATTGGAATGCACAACCAAAATTGGCATCCTCATGGCTTGCAATATTGGCATGACAGTCTGTCCTAGTTGCCGCATGGGCCGTCTCATACAGTTAAAAAGCAGTCTGTACCAGATGCTCACTTATTTCCCTAGATTAAAATGTATTTTGTCTACATGCCGCCCTTGAATACAATAAATTTCTGTAGTTAATGCACCAGCATGGCTCCATACTGTGACTAAAATAAACATAACATAAACAAAATAAACATTTGCAACAATAATTTATAATGTAGTTGCTGTCAAGAGAACTTTATGGCCATATGTGTTTTTGTCAGATATTATTTTGTTAGAGTGTGTGCAGTGTGAATTGTGAACAAGTGGCTCTTATTAACCAGATCCTGTTAAGGAATCAGACAGTTGAAAAGTTTCACAAAACAGCCTCAGATTTGCTTGTTAGTTAGCAGTTTGAATTACAAATCAACGAATCAGTCTGATTTAAATAGCTGGATGCAGTCAGTCTATTCAGTCAAGGCTGTGTTTCTCAAAAGCATCACAAGCCTAAGATGATTGTAGAGACCTTTGGTTTGAATGGTTTCTGTGATATACTTTGACTTACAATGCTTTTGGTGAATACGGCCCAGAGCCATTGCTGATTTCACAATATCTACCTCAGTGACTCGCGGTTCATTTTTTGTTTATAATTTGAAAATTAATACTTTTGTTTTTACTTAAGTCTGTTTGTGAAATGTTTTTTGACAACATGTACAGTAAATTAAAGATTAGGTTTGGTAATCTTTATGGTGGTATTCTAAAAAAATCTAATTTAATCTAATTTATTTCAAATTATTATTATCATAAAATATACAATTAATATGAATTATATTTAGGGATGCACGATATATCGGCCACCATATCGGTATCGGCCGATAAATGCTCATTTTTTCTGTTATCGGTATCGGCCTGATAAGAAAATTTGGCCGATATCTTAAAGCCGATAAATAATGCATTATTTCCTTCAGAGACACTTCAGATGCGCGCTGTTCGTTTGCAGCCTTTTGTGCAATTGTATGTTGTAATATTGTGTTTATTTGATGTATATCTGATTTATCTCATATAGAATGCGTTTGGTTAAGTTAAAAGAGCGCTTCAGTTTACCGGTGATCGTCTTTAGCTCAGCGCACGCAGCTCAAACAGCAGTGCACAACATTAATAACTATGATTGGGAATGTTGTGTATATAACATTCTAATGAGAACATTATTATAATAAAACGTTGTGCATTCTTTGGGTTTAGTTGCTGTGTTTCAGCGCGTTGATATGGGAAGAGCACATCCACAACAGGATCACACATTCTGACTATAGCACGCAATAACTGCATCATTTTGTACATATATAAGTTGTAATATTATGTTTATGTTGTATTAATATTAATCTCAGGATGCATTTCCTTGAGTTAAATAAGCTGCCAGCAAAACGCTTCAGTTTACCATGTTCATTCAGCTCTTCAGCTTCAGCACGCGCAGCTCAACGACTGCTATTTAAAACAGTGGTATTAATTTGTTACTTTTTCAAAATCATCGATACATTATTAACAACAACAACCACTTGTATTTTTCTCTTATTATTTTCATCAACAATATGGTTTAGTAATTAAAATAATTTAATTATTGTCCGTGCAGAGGATATTCTGTTTTATTGATCTGTGGCGCATTCATTTTGATTCTTTACACGTGTAATGATGTCCAGTGACTTGTTTGCATTATTTATGCATTATTTTATTTATTTGTAAGACTTTTTTATGACTAAATTTGGTAATGGGAGAGTAAAAATATTTTTAAAACGTACACCGTTCAAACTAGGCTGCTTATGTTGAAGTGTTTGGGATGTGGCTTTTAATGATGAGACCTTTTTTGTAATCAGGCTCTCAAAAAGTATATAACAATTTGGATATAGATTTATCGGCCAACATATCGGTTATCGGCTTTCAAAAATAAAGAATAATCGGTATCG